CCTCGGCCTCCCAAAGTGCTGGGATTGCAGGCTGAGCCACCGAGCCCGGCTGTATTATTTCTTTATAGTGAAATTGTTCTTTGGAGTGAAGTTAAAATAATTATAGGTTAAAACAAAATGCAGTTGTAATGATTCATAGCTAAGTTGTTTGACTTTTTTTTTGAAAGCAGGATTATTGAGAGGACAGAAAAGCTCTCACAGGGGAGGGGACCCGAGGGGGTTACCCAGTTGTTTGACTTTTAATATTCATATTAAATACCTAAACTTTGGAAAAATTTTTCTTTTTAAGCAGCAATCAAAGCACATAACTAATAAATCACATCTCAAACGTTTCTTGAATTACTTCTCTTTTGGCTTAGGGCAGTGTAATAAACTTGGAACTTTCTGTCCAGCTTATTTTCTTGAAATGTAAAGTATTGTTCAGTTGCCAATAAGAAGTACGAGTACAGAGTGTTTCTGAGAGAGTGTGCTGTTCACTCCTGTAGTACGTGGAAACTTTTTTCTTTTTTTCTTTTCCTTCCAGAGTGGCACAGAAGAGGGAGGATGCTGTTTCCAAAGAAGTGACTCGAAAACTTTCTGAAGCTGATAATAGAAAGATGTCTCGGAAGGAGAAAGATGAAAGGTTTGACTTTCTCTTTAAAGTGTTTGTGGTAATCAAAAAAGTGTTACTTTGGAGAAAATAAGTTTTTGATTTTTTACAGAAAGAATGTGGGTATTAGATTGTCTGAGGTAAATTTTGGAATTGTAGAAGTAGTTGTAACGGGAATAGTAATAACTGACTTTGGGAGTTTTTATTACTACAAGATATTTTTCTCTGTGTGATACAAGAGTTTATTCCTCTAAAGAGCCCATTGTTATCTTCATTTTATATCTGAGGAAACAAAGGTACAGAAAGCTGGAATGACTTGCCCAAGGTCCTAGACTAGATAGATCCTTGATAAGACACAGGCAGTCTGGCTGGAGAGCTTGTACCTGCTGGAATTGAGGAGGTGGCAGCGCTTTGTCTAGTACTGGCCTTGCCTATAGATAGTTTGTGACCTGGAGCATATCACTGAGCCCTTTGGGTCTGAAGGGCTTACCTTGCACGTCTAGGTCATGGGATTTCCATTCCTGAGCTCCTGAGGGTCAACTAGTGCTTGGTTATCAGCACTGGCTGTGAAAAAGAGAAGAACTGGTCTTGCCTCTTGTGGCCCAAATCTGTGCCACAATTTTTAGTCCCAGCTACTCTTAGAAGGCCTATTAAACAATCTGCCATCTGAGTAGCAACAGTCCCTAAATGATTGAGTAAACATGTGCAGAAGAGTTACTAGATAGTTTAGAGTCTAGTTCTCTTAGATCTTTAGTTTTCATATCAAGTAGATGCTCTGTGGAACAGAATTTTTACCCTTCTTTGCTCTAGAAAGACTTTGTGGGAACTTGTAGTAAGTATTCAACGAACTTGCAATATATAACATTTTTTATATATAATACGTCTTTCTTAAAGTGAATGTAAAGTAATACAATTTTAAAAAACCAGAGCCCACTTCAGAGGAAGAAAAGGTAGGTGGACAAGGCCCTTTGAGTTACTTACAGCAGTTGAGTGCTAAGCTTGCTTTGGAGCTTCCAACAATCAGGGGAAGCATCCGAGGTCACTCAGCTCTCATTGTCTGATGAGAAGCAGCATGCATGTCCTTCTGAAGAGACACTTTCCTGGCACTAGATCTTGGAAAGGCTTTATCAAGTGGATCCTTATTTAAGGGACACTGAGTAACTTAATGAGCGATGTCTTCTCCAGTGGTTTTGGAAAGGCACCAAAACATTATTGAAATGATCACCTCCTATGGATCCTTTATAAAACTGAAGGCACATTCATAAATTATGACAATAAAGACCTTTTGTGAGAAGCATCTTTAATGAGGTCTGGCTGCATAGCTTTCTGATTGCATATTTTTGCATAGGGATGGAGGTTAGAGAATCTAGATTGCTTTTTTAAAAAAACCTTTTTATTGAATTATTATATTCATTAAAGTAGTGCTTCTGGGGTATGTGTCATAGTTACCCAGATTTCAAAATGCTTGTTACAGATCTTAAAGGTTTTGGCTGATAAACGATGTCAGAGATGGCAAATGATTCTTCTCTGCCCACTGCAGACTTGATGATTTGGTCTGGCACTTGCTCTTGATCCTAAAACAGCTCAGAGTCTTTCTCGGTACAGTGTTAAGGTAGTCACTGCTAGTGAATCAGAGTTGAACATGGGAATGAATTTTTTTGCCGTTTGCTGGATAAGGTATTTCAGAATAAGGTGAAGTGGGGTTTTCATGGATATTTATAAAATGCAGAGCATCTGAAGATTATGGAATTTTTCTTCTTGTCATCAGTCAAGATTGGGCTGTTAGTCTTTCTCTCACCAAAGGCACACTGGGTACAATTTTCCCTGGGTCTGTACTCATGATTGACCCTGAGAACTGGGACTAGAGCCTCTCACTGATTGAGATTTAGTATGTTTCTCTCTCAAAGGATAAGTTGGCTTCCAGAGATTTGATCAAGGAAAAGGCTTATCAGCATTTCTTTGCCTGGATACACATCTCTCAAAGCTCTGCAGTGATTTGGAATATGTACTTCATGCCATTTTGAAAGTACTTTAAAATATCCATCCATCCAAGGATGGAAATAAGCAGAGGAGAATGTGAGATTCATTAACATTTGTTCCAGAGTGTGAGTGTTATTTCTTCTTGACTTAGTAGTGATCTGTCATTTCACATTATCTGATTATAACACTTGTTTTTTTGTCTCAACTTTTCTCTTGTTGTGGGAAGCTTTCCCTGCAAAAGTGACTTTTAGGGAAGTATTCTCCCAAGCCAGGTTTCCTACTAGGAAGAAAATGTCTTCTACTGGACAAAACCATTGACAGTAAGGACATTTGGGAGTCCTACATAAAAAACAAAACAAAACAAAAAACAGGATATAGATGGACTAGAAAAAGTTCTGAAGGCTGTCAGACAGGTCTGACTGTGTATACCGATGTAACGCATGGTCCAGTTTCTTTCATCAAAACTGAAGGTGGTTCTGATTCAGGAGTTGACAGAAAAGGAGTTAGGGAAAAGCACTGTGATGTAGGCGGGATAATTTAAGCATGCAGTGCAGAGGTGTGCTAGTAGCCTACTTAAGAAATCTCTCTTCATTGGGTCTGAGTCTTAGAAATAAGCCGGACTCGGTGGCTCAGCCTGTAATCTCAGCACTTAGAGAGTCTGAGGTGAGTGGATTGCTTGAACCCGCGGGTTCGAGACCCACCTGGGCAACTTGGTGAGACCTCATTTCTACAATAAATCAAAAAATGAGCCAGGTGTGGTAGCGCGCGCCTGTAATTCCAGCTACTTGGGAGGCTGAGGCGGAAGGATCGCCGGGGCCCAGCAGGTTGCGACTGCGGTGGCCAGGAGTGGCCACTGCACTCCAGTCTGGGTGGCAGAGTGAGACTCCAACTCAAAAAAAAAAAACAAAGAAATAGAGGCAGTTGGCCTATTGTCTAGCATTAAACCGTGTTGGGACTGTGCATTTTACTGGGCTGATATTTTTATTGATCAGGGTTAGGATGGTATGATGTGTTTCCTCCAACTCCAAGTCATAGAATTTTAAGAAATTTACATTTAAACCTCTGAAATTAGAAGGTTTGTAGTTCATGGCTGCACTTAATGTAACGTCCTTTTCTTCCCTCAAACTTAGAGTAAGTGAAAGCATTATTAAGCTGATGATGTCTGTAGAATCAAGGAAATACGGCATCCATTTGAGACTACAGATTTCTTCTGATGAGGATAAAGATTAAACTTTCATTTAGTTCCTTTACAGCCAAGCCCGTTGACTTTGGATTAGAACACTGGGTGAATAAAATGTATCAGTTACCAATGACTTAAGGGTAAAGCTGTCCTTAGGATGAGGAGGGTGTCGTCTGGCTCCCAAGTAGGGTTACCTTTTGGGGTGACAAAGTGTTTACAATAGTGACCTTCAACCCTTTTGATAATGACCAACAGTAAAAAACAAAAATACAAAAAACATATTTAGCTTTTTGACCAAATACACTCATACATACATGCATGCAAATGTTGCACAAAACAGTAATTACCCTACTGTGTGTGATGCACTCTTGATGTTTTTCTGTTCTTTCTTGTAGTCTCAACCCACTCAGTTAATTTCTGTAGGCATTCGATCCACTCAGTTGAGTCCACATCCCACTAATAGGTCACAACCTACTCTTTTAAAAAGTGCTTTACAAACTTAATTAACCAAGAGGAATAAAGGCTTCCTTATTCACAGGCATCTGGGAACTTCCATTTGCCTGTGGGAAGGGGTGAAAGAAAAGATTGTGCTGGGCTCGGTGGCTCAGCCTGTAATCCCGTGCCTTGGGAGGCTGAGGTGAGTGGATTGCCTGAGCCCACGGGTTCAAAACCCGCCTGGGCAACTTGGTGAGACCTCATCTCTACAACAAATCAAAAAATCAGCCGGGCATGGTAGCGTGTGCCTGTAATTCCAGCTACTCGTAAGGCTAAGGCAGAAGGATCGCTGGAGCCCAGTAGGTCGAGGCTGCAGTGGCTGGGAGCGGCCACTGCACTCCAATCTGGGCGACAGAGTGAGACTCCAAGTAAAAAAAAAAAAAAAGAAAAAAGATTGTTAAAGTACTAGTAAATTAAGATAAAATATCAGGACAAGTACAATAGAATAAATAAAAAGTAAGTTTTACAAACGTTTGAAAATTCTCATAATGGTCAAGCACATTCTTTGTTTAAATAAAGATGGCTAACAGTAGTCTGGTTCTATAAGACACAGCTAGTTTTTGTCATTGGGATTGTCTTCTTAAGGTGTGATATTGAAGACTGACATCTGCAGGCTGTGGAGAGATTCAAGTTCATGGTTCAGCCAAGGGAGTTCTGTCAAGCTGTTGATTGGGGAGTTTGAGTTTTAGGTGACAGCCTGGAGAAAGAAGCTGCTGATCAAACCGTGCCAACTGCAATGAATCAATCCCTTCCTCCATAACCCTTGCTGCCTGGGAAAATGGTAAACATAACCAGCTGCTGTGCTTTTAGCATCAGTAAAGAGAGGGAAATATTTTTTCAGTGGAGAAAGGGGGACAGTTGTGACTAAATTTAATATTAAAAGCACATTCTCACCCTAGAACAGTTAAGGGAAAACTTGTCTTACAATGAATTAGAGCCATGTGGTATTTAACATTTTAAATCATATTTATAAACTTGTTTGACTTGTTTCTGTGTGTTTAGAATCTTGTGGAAGAAGAATGAAGTTGCTGACTATGAAGCGACAACATTTTCCATCTTCTATAACAACACTCTGTTCCTGGTCTTGGTCATTGTGGCTTCCTTCTTTATATTGAAGAACTTCAATCCTACAGTGTATCCTTTTAAAGACTGATTGTCTTTTTTAAAAGTCTTGAAACAGTAGTTCATTTGGTTCCGACTTGTCTGTATATTTTAGTGGAAGGAAAAACTGCTTTGGGAGTCAGTCCATTAAATAGCGCTGACTTGAGGCAATTTTCTGGACATTTAAAATAACAGCTTTTGGTTTGGTTTAAAGTTCTCTTACATTTATAAATTGTGGCTTTTTGATAAACAACAAGTATTTCAAAGCAGTCTTATATATGTGTATATCTGCCTACTTAAAAGTTCCAAAGACCCAAAGCAAACTTGTCTTCTTTGATAGCTCCTGGAATACTAAGCTCCTGTGTCTGCTGTTATTTTTGGGCTTTGGGGTTGGGTGGGTGGCCAGTGCAGTTAAATAGGTACATTCCATAATACCTTAACAGTATTTCAAACTGCTCTTAAATTGAGCTTTTGGGCAGGAATCAGTCTTCTCTTACTAAGGTAATTTATTAAAGGTGTTAACCAGAAATACACATCCAAACTTTTAACAATTGGATATTATGGCATAATAAAATATCAGATACCCTCCAACTTGTATCTTTTGGGAATACTGGAATGATTGGTTGAAAATGGCATAGTTCTGAAGCTGAAAGTAGCTGTGAACTTTCAACCCTTCTTGCTGCAAGCCATCTGCAGCAAAACACTCATCGACAGGAAAGACTTCTTTTTCCTTTGCTCTGAGGAAAAAAGGAAAACAAGTCTCTCTTCCCTGTGTTCTCTGATCACCTCTTCTCATGAAGGTTAAATGGAATTCACAAGTGTTCTTTGTGATCATGTGTTCTAGGTTTCTAAGTGTTTTCTTTTTAAAATTAGAACACATTTCCTGTGAATGTTTTTCATTTTTTATGATCTTCTGTCTTGTAAATTGTGCTGCAGACGATGGGGCCCTACATCATCATGAAAATACCAGGTATCAGGAAGGGAATGCCATATTCCAAGGAGATGGGCTCTTTTTATGTTGTTGGAAAACTAATTTTGAGTTAATTTCCTTAACATTAAATTCCTACAGGAACTACATTTTGTCCATAAGTGCTTCATCAGGACTCATCGCCCTCCTGTCTACTGGCTCCAAGTAGATAGACCATTAGACCATGGCAGCTTCTCCTGGCTTACGTTGATGGGTGGCCTGTGGTGTATGGGCAGGCAGCAGGGTGGTCAGAGTGGAAGACACAAGATGTTTTTATAGTCTGGAGCTTGAGGGTTTAAAAAATCAACAGAATGTAATTCAGCATTTGTTTATTGGCTCTTTTTGACAGATTGTTGAAATTAAATGAATTGAAAGGGAAACTCAGAGTACCAGGACATTTATTAAAAGGAAAAAGAATGTCTTGCAATATGCTATAATCACAAGAGGAGAAAATAACTTGTTTCCTTGATCTGTCAGAGGTCACAGTAACCTGGGCCGAGCTGTTATTATTTATAATAGTAGCAAGACGTTAATAACTTGTTCTCTATGTTCCAAGCACAATATTCCAACTTTTTGAACCATAAATATCAGAATGAATCCTCTTCCCAGGGGATTGAATAGAAAGCTTAATGTTTATAAGTCTCTGGATTTGTGATTTAAAATAACACAAAATTAGCATGATTTCTTCAACTTGGGGAAGAAAAACTTGTGGAAAAGTACCTCCCCCCCCTTTAAAAAAAAAAAAAAAATAAAGGCAGCCAAGTTAGTAACCTAAAAATAGTGCCCAGGCATATGAGAGTTATTCTGCGGGGTTAAAGCACACACTGTTCAGCTGGATGGCTTTGGCCCTGGGCAGCCAGGGAGGTCAACTTGACCCTGCCATGTTGGTTTAACTTACTAAGACACAGGAATCATTGTTTTCCAAGGTTTCACACCACTGGTGAATGTTAACTAAGAGAGAGAACCTCTTTCCTGAGTATTGACATGTAAAATACCAAAGTAATTTTTATGATCTTAGTTCTGGAATTCTAAGAACTCTCCAAGGAATTTACAGTGACTTTAGTGCTTGTCAGCATTTTTCCTTCAGGACTTTTGACCCTTTAGTTCCTCGGTTCCCATCGATTGTGAACAAAATATTGATCTCTTCAGCTCTTGTAGGTTGAGCAGAGTGCAATCTCTTGCATTTTTCTTACTAGTATGTGTACAGATATTATTTCCCTAGTGTGCCATGACTTGAACAAGCTTGGGCAGCTCGTTTTTAACCATGTCACCTAAAAGGCGGTGGAATCACAGGGGGTAGTGGTTTTATATGCCATTAACTTTTGACCACATCCAGTAACTTCCTACAAACAGTGCCTCAAAGGAAATATTTTTCTAATATTTAGTTTCTACTTCTAATTTAAGATGAATGTTATAAGTGTTACTAGTTTTATTTATGACCTTATGAAGTTACTCATCTACTTCCATGCTGTTGATGTGTTGGTGGGCTGCATCTGAGAACTGAGAAGGAAAGTAGGAGTGTATTTTCATAGTGACCCATATCATCATTGTGTGCGGTTCAGGATTCCATTTCCTCATTGCTTTATATGTTTGCAGTTCTGTACTTCTCTCTGGTACATTGTTAAGTGCTATCACTAGATAATGTGGAGTGAATAGGGAAGTCAGAAGAGATTCACTGCAGGGTACAGTTGGGTAACACGTAAGAGGTTTATTTATTTTATTTTTTTTTTAACTTTACTATTTTTTAAAAAGCCAGTCAGTAGTTTGACTGGATGTATGGAGTCTGTGTATCAAATGCATTTGCTTATTTGACAGAATGATTATATGATAAACCATCAGTGTCTACTATTTACCAGAGCCCCAGTATCTTTTTAGGTTGCTGGTGGAAACTTGCCACTAGATGGCAGTGCCTATATAGACGGGGAAAATCACCACCTATCTTGGTACAATCCAGTGTAGTTTAGATGGGTGGTGACATGGGGCTGTCAGCTTAATATTCTTAATGGAACTTCTCTTGAATTAATAAACTGAAAATTTGTAGGAAAGTCAGTAAGCAAAATTTGTTTCCTGAGTTTTTCTGCAGCACTCTATTTTCAATCCTGATAATGTTTTCTAACTTTCTACACTTTTGGATCAATTTCTGTGCATAAGATTATAAGGCAGATACTCACAGCTCAGCAGTTTTCATTAGGGATTTACTGTACCAGTACTTTACTATCAGGAATTGAGCAGAACCTGTTCCCCAGTGCTCTCCCACCATCTGAAAGAGCTATGTGTCACCTAGAATTATGGTACGCTCAGTCTGATGTAGAGAGTAAAAACTTGTTGGAAAAGTTTTATCTTAAAAAGACCTCGTACCCAACACAGTAAATAAAAGGGATTCTGCTGTAGTTGGCATTCAAAGTGATTAAATTTCTTTTTTCATACTCGTGATAAGTAGCAGCTTAAAAGCATCAACTTACAACATTTTCATTTACCTATTTTTAGTTTCCTTATTTACAACTTAATAAAAATCTTGGATTGAAACTCTTAGCCAGTAAAAATTTACTACTTGTTCTATTTGGCATATTATTGCAACTTGGAAAGGATAATTTGAAACAAGGTTCAAAGTTAACTGAAATATAGAGATTGAATTTATACTCCTTTCTTGTGAAAGGTCTTGCTTAATTAATATCATTAAACTTTTTTTTTAACTTGTATTTTCCCTAGATTTCTTTGTAAGAATCGTGTGAATAAGTAGAATAAGTACATCATCAATTTCCGACACATATACATTACATTTTTGTACTTGCTGATCAAATGTCTGTGAGGCGGTGACAGGCACAGAGCAGTGCAGTACAGGACAGGTGTCAGGCCTCTGTCAGACTGCTTTCCTGCCTGTTTCTGTGTTTTCGGTGTGCATGCCAGTCATTGCTGCTTCTGGAGACACTCAGAAAGGATACATATATGGGTACATGGATGGTGAAAACCAGTTTACAGATGTATCAGGGTTTGTAAGGGGTTTGCTCACCTCCTTGACTCCCAGGCAAGGGAATTAATGGGAGATTATGAGGACCTTGAGAGACTGCTTTAGAAGTTAGACACTAACTTCTCGTTGGTCTTTATGAGTTTTTATTGCCTCTCTTCTCTGACTTCTCCCTCTTGTCTGATCTCTGAATTTGGGTTCATACCTGTTTTTTAAAAATTCTCGCACACAATTGACTTCTGTATAAAACTTTAAAGCTTAAATAGAAAAAAAGCACTTGAGAAGGACTGTACTGGAATGCAAAATGCTTGGGTTCCAGTCCTGGTTCTGCTATCAGCCAACAGTGTAGGTTCGGGCATGTTCTTCTGATCTGCCAAGCCCACTTTCCTTGTTTGTCAAAGAAGCATGGCTTTGCAGATGCCTCAGCTTCCTTCAGGCTCTGACATTGCCTCAAGACTTTGGCACTCTTCATGAAGATGAAGTGACAGTTCCTAAAGTGGGAAGCCAGGCGCAGGATTTCTAGTTTGCATTTCCCCTGCCCAGGATTTCCATGTGGGGATGACTGGTATCTGGGTTACCCCTTGTAGTAACCCATTCTCTGCCGGGGTATGCTTTTCAGAAGAGAAAGGAAAAAGAGAGTGCATGGAAATTTTTCTTAAGGACGTAATTATGAAATGTATTTTCTAGTATATTTACCATGACTGGTGACATGCATATAAAAAATCCGGCTGTTCCCATGGCTAAATCATAGTGTTTATATTTGGTTTTGATTTGCAGCTTTAGCCTTAGTGCAGAGTATTCTAAAATCCAATGAGAAATGATATCATCTAGTAACTAATTTCCATTAATGAGAGCGAAAAAAGCTTGGCTGGCATTGTAAGTCTCAGTCTTTTGATCACTGCTATTTGTGTTACGTATGCAGTGCAGCTTAGCTGTCAGTATGACTTTTATTTAGATGATTATTGCCTGTTTTATGGCCATACCATATTGTACATGTGTGTATCTAATATATAGGAAAAATACACTTATGCCTCATAGTGAAAGATCAGACAAAAACTTGTGAGATTGAATGCACAAAATGCTTTTATTATTCTAAGCAATAAATCAGTTAAATCGCATTTCCCATTAGACAGCACACTCGCTCGTTTACACATACAGTGATTCACTGAATTGAATACACAGTGAATAGCTGAAAAAATGATCCATTTCCACCATTACTCTGATACTTGGGCAAAAAATCCAAAATCCCTATTAGAATACAGGTAGTAAGTAACCAAAATGAAAATTTGTTGGCTTTTCCCACTAACATTTTAAGAGTTAGAACTTAACCATGAAATACATATCTAGAAATGATGACAGAAAGTAGCATATTCTGTAAATTTCAAAGTGATCTCCATAGGGGGAGCCTGCTGACCAGAAAGTTATTAGAGTCTTTACATCCTCAGATGCTCCAATACAGTTAAAGGACCATCCCCACCCCCCAAAAGGGAAGAAAAACATGTTTTCTCCCTTTTTACAGGTACCAGTACACAATATATTCTCACAGTTTTTCTCAAGTGGGATATTCATGAGGGTATATAGCCAATGGTGGCAGGGATAGCTAGACCTCAGATTCTGAGTACACCAAGGCTAAGCCCCTTGAATCCATGCAGGGGACTTTCATGCATATAGTTGAGTGCATATAATGTTACTATAGGATCAGAAAGTTCTTTGAACAGTTTTCTTTCACCAGGCAAGTCCATTCACCCAGCATATTCTGAATCATGTCGTAGTGTTCCTCACAAAGCCTGTTGATTGACTTTCATATTAACAACTCCTTCAAAATACCAAGTGTTAGATTGTAAAACCCCAGCACTATTAAACAGTGAACATTCACCTTTCTGGGTATTTTACAAGTTTACTAACAAAACTGAGTGTGTGTCTATTTATTTTTGAAGCTCAAGTATTTGAACTTGCAGAAGTTGTGCCTAGCAGTTGAGAGTAGAAAGCAGGTTTTAATAAAATGTAGTAAAAAATGAACACTTAATTGCAGATACGTTGCATTTTATTCAAAGCTCAGTTTCCATAGCAAAGTAACTGTCTCTTTAGCAAACTAGCCATGACATCTCTAGTTAAAGATTATTCATCCCTTACCATCTCCACATGTAAATGGACATAACATTATTAGAATCCTAAGAGACATCCTGCATAAATGCTTGTATGTACAGGGCCATCTTGGGGCCAAGCAACAGCAACTATTTGAAAGTTATATAAAGCAAATGCCTAGAAGTTTTAGTTTTGTTTAATGACAAGTGAAACAAAAATGATCGTGAAAATAGGCAAAAAAAAGTAAAATTCTAATTATTCTCCCTAGCAAGACTTTTGAGTGAAGATATCCTACTCTATTTCTTACACAATTCACATTGCATCTGTGGATTTTGAAAAAATATATCTGTACAGCCTTCTCTGAGTTACCAAATGCCCGAAGGCAGATTCTCTTTCCCCCCACATTCTTCTCATCGCCTGTGTGTGAGGTGCATGAAGCGATGCAAGAACAGGCGACTCCAGCCCCAGATAAGAAAATAGAATGGATTTTCTTGGTTGTGAGTTTTCAGATGTGCACAGTGGTAGTGACAGCAGACACCTCAAAGAATCCAGGGACACTAGAGGCTGAGCAGCAGGCTGCTAAGTGACTCGAAAGACTGGCTAGGAACTGAACCGTTCTGTGCTGGGCACAAGCTGCTATTGGAACCATACAGCTTCTGGCTCATGCATTGCCTTAGGACCTGTAGTCCTTCTTGCTGTAGGGCTTGTTGCGCAGGATGTTGTCAATCTCATTGACCACGTGAGATGTCATCTTTGGGAGAACCTGAGAGTGGGAGGAGAAGTACAAAAGGATTCTTTAGTCCAGTTGAGCATTTTTTTGTGCTCTACATCAAGCAAAGACATCTAAACTTGTATACATTCATAAAAGGCTGGATTGTAAGCTCCCTACCACACTGTGAACTTGGGAGCTTTGTTGACTGCATAAATGAAGGCATAAGGCATGTATGAAGGCTTGTAGAAACAGAGCTGCGCTATCCAATAGAAAGGTAATGTCAGCCACATTTGTGATTTTAAGTTTTCTAGTGGCTACTTAAAAAAGCAAAAAGAGGCCAGGCGCAGTGGCTAACAGCTATAATCCCAGCACTTTGGGAGACTGAGATGAGAGGATTACCCGAGCCCACAGGTTCGAGACCAGCCTGGGCAACTTGACACAACCTCATCTCTACAATAAATCAAAAAATAAGCTGGGTGTGGTGGCATGGGCCTGTGGTTCCAGCTATTTGGAAGACTGAGGCAGAAGGATCACCTGAGCCTAGCAGATTGGGGCTGCAGTGTGGGTGATTGTGCCACTGCACTCCAGCCTGAACGACAGAGTGAAACTCCAACTCAAAAAAAAAAAAGGGTGTCAGGTGCCTGTGGGATACACACCTAGAAATAGGACTGGGCAGCTGTGGCACTTAGTTGCAGGAGGCCCAGAGTTTAGGATGTGTGAGTCATTTGCAGGATGTGCTGATTTCTGAAGCCCGGGGTAGGCATGAGCCAATCTGGGGATAGCTTTTATTATGAGAAGTAGGCCAAGGGCACTCATTACACCATACGACAAGGGACATAGGCAGGCTTTCTCATTGCAATAGTCTGATCCTGTGTGGAGACTGTGGTGTAACAGAATTCTGGCGACTAGTCTGGAGGCTGCAGCCTCGCCCTTCCTTTGCTGTATTCATGTTAGCCACTGTGACCTGTCTTCACTCAAGTGCTAGCCGCAGACACCTCAGGGCTTGACATGATAGTCTGTCCATCCACCCGGCCTGGGAAACTTCTGGTCCTGGCTAATGTTTTCCTACCTGAAGCTAAAGGAGGAATTTGATTTCCCACTGGCTTTGGAATTTTAGAGTGTTTGAGCAGGTCGTATGTTATTTAAAAATGAGATTGTAACAATGAGACCAAAATCTGGAAATTGGATTTTTTGGAAGTTTTGTGTCTACAGTGGATTGGCCACGTGAGGAAAAAATCCTTTATTACACCAAAAGACATTTCTGATAGAAAAGAAATTTAAACAACAAAAAAATGAAACCATAAAAGTACTTGAATAAAACCTAAAATAATAGTGTTGCAAGACTAAAATTTTCAAGAGGAGCCCCATGTAGAATTTTGTATGAAATTACCGAGTTTTTTAATGTTGCCAACTAGCCAACTATTTCGAAACATTCTAAGTGACTACAGGTTTAACAACCCACAGGCTACTGGCTGTGCACATTTGGAGTTCCTCTGCCTGGATTAACTGATGGGGTGAGGGGAGGTCTGGCTGACATTGATGGGCTGGCAGGGTACTAGGGTCCTCCCAGGGTTGGGTCACTGTTGTTCTGGGCCTTGGAGATGGAGGAGGATTTCACCAGGCTGGGGTAGTGGTCACTTTGTAGGCAGAGGACCCCTGTCGTATCTGGAGATCTGAGTGGTTCGGGGGGGGGGGCGGGCTGAAAATTGGGTTCCCAGGAAGTGTGGTGGGGGATGGGCCTGACTCAGAGGAGCCTGGCCTTCTCTGAGTGACTTGATGGGAAGCTCCCGAAGGTTTTTAAGGCTGGTGGGGGAGGGTAGAGGCATTTCTGCCACCTTTTGGGTAGAAGTGAGGAGGATAGGCTCCAGGCAGGTGGTGGTGGGCTTCCCACAGCTGTGGCTTCTTGTCTCCTCTCCCCCTGTCGAGGCCTGATGTATACATGCCCCTCCTGGTTTTACACACCTTAGGCATTCAGCTTCCCTCCAAGCAGCTGCTTTCCTGGCCTACTAGTAAATTTCCTTTCCTTGCCACTGCTGCCTCACCACACTTTCCATCCTTCTGCAGCCAATCCTACCCCTGCTGGGCGTTCCCAAATACCCGGTCTGCTCTTTGCCACGTCACGGGGCCCAGTCACAGTATGTCCAGGGTGGACCCTCCAGTGCTGGGCACGCAGGAGGTAGAGTAGGAGGGGGAGGGGCATGGGGTGAGTGGTGGCCGTCTTGATGCTTGGATGATGTCCCTTTCATAATGGGCAACAGCCCCACCTGCTGCCAGCCACAGCCTTGCCAGTGAGGAGGTGCTTTGGGAGGTAAACGGACTCAAGAACGTTCCCTCTGAGATGTGTCCTTCTCCCTCTACCTGCCTGGCCTGCTGGCCTTGAGAGCCCTGCCCAGGAATGACCTCTTAATGTCACCACCAGGCACCATGCGCTCTTGAGAAGGCAGTGGCCTCCCTGAATGAGCATGACAGGAATCCCCAATTCCGCCCTCTTTCTGCCAAGCCATGCTCTCTCTCTTTCCAGAAACTGTGGAATCCATCCACTTCTCTCCAGTGCTATGGCCACCACTCTGGTCCAAGCCACTGTCGCCTCCCACCTGGACAACTGTCCTTGCCTGTCATTCTGCTTTCCACCCAGCAGCAACGGACATGTAAACATTCAAACAGGAGCTCATCCCCCTTCTTAATTCAGGAGGACTAGACTCTGACCCATGGTGGCCTGTGGGATTTGGCCCCTGCCGGCCTCTCTGCTTCAACACATCTGCTGTCCCCTTTGCTCGCTACAAGTTGGCCACACTGGCCTGAGGATGGCAGTTCCTTCCTACTTCAGGGCCTTCGCACCGCTCTTCCCTGTGCCTAGAATGGGCCGTGTGAAGACATGTAACAAATGGAGGCCCATGATGGCCTCAGAATAGACATCCCAGAGGGGGCTTTTGCAAAGACATGATTTAAAATGGGCCCATCCACTTCTCAGTCTCTATTATAGCATCCTATTTATTTCCTGATAGCCCATTTCACAGCCTGAAGTTATTTTGTGTGTATGTCTGTCACTCCCTTGAAGGTTGGACAATGTCTTTCTTGTTCCCTGTGGTGTCTCCAGTGCTCATTATAGGGTCTCAGAGATCCTGAGGAATGAATGAAGGGATAGATTTCCTAATTCACTCTTTTCCAGCCTGCTGATGAGCACTTTGAAGCAGGGTCCTGTTCTGACTCATCTTAGTCCTTTCTGCCTGGCATGGCACCAAACATAAAATAAGTACTCTAAAGATTTGTGAAATAATCTCTGCTTTAGACTTCAGTGCTTTGTGTATAAACTCCCCTCCTCATCCCAGAGTAGCCTCATCTCTTCCCAGAGCAGATGTCAAAGTAAGAGAGGGTGGAGCGGGATTCATAAGAGGGGGCATTGCCCATGCAGGGACAGGGAACCCCACAAAAGCCAGGAAGGCATTGTGGGGTCAGAGGGTTATTGGAAGAAGAGAAGTGGGGCTGTTACAACACTGCTGCACGGCCCTGAGAAAGGTGGGGGCAGGGACTCCACACCATTTATCCTCCAGCATGTGTTGGAGTCGAGTCTCACTCTGTCTGGGAGAGCAGTGGCACACGCGTAGCTCACCACAGCCTCACCTTCCCCAGGCTTAGGTGATCCTTCTACCTCAACTTCCCGATTGGCTGGGACAACAGGCATGCACCACCACGCCTGGCTAATTTTTTATTTTTGTAGAGACAGGTCTTGTTATGTTGCCTAGACCAGTCTGGAACTCCTGGGCTCAAGTGATCCTCCTGCCTTGGCCTCCCAAAGTGCTGGGGATTACTGGTGTGAGCCACCACACTCGGCCTCTGGGTTTTTAAACATTCCAGGTTTCTTCATGTTTGTCCCCACCTCCATCTGTTTTGTTTTGGGAACAGTCAAGGGGCTTTGTGTTTGTTTCAGGGAAGAAGCTTTGAGGCAATTCTGTTCCCCATGAGCAAGAGGAAACAAGGACAAAACAGACGCCCTTGCCCTTGTCCTTGCCTTACTCAGCAGGTGGTGGCTACAGCAGGAATAGTGGGTAGGAATAGTGGGCTGGATCGTTCCTAGTGCTTTTAACAGGGCCCAGAACGGCAGGCTCAGGACTGGATGTGGCCTTTGGGGAAGGGGAATAGTCACAGATACTGACCCCCAACTCCTCCTTAGATGGTGCTCCCAGGAACACCCTATCTCCTCCCCCTTCCTCTCCTGCACCTGCAGCTCCCCAGAATACTGCAGGAGGCTCCATCCTGTGCCCTGGGCCAACAGCCATCCTCATGGGGGAAGGAGTGGGGATGGGCCTCCTAAATTTGCTTCTCGGGAGACGTGATCCTGGAAATCCAAAGTAGAATTTTACACCCACTTAAAACATGGCAAATATTCATCCAACAGATATTTCTTGAATCTTGGACTAGGGGCCCTATAATAGGCAAAGAACTAGGAAGCCAGTGGAGAAGCAAGAAAGACACAGGCCTCTGATCTCAGGGGACTTATGGTGTAGTAAGGGCGCAGGCAGTTGTGTTATCATAAGTGTTACAATGGGAGAGGGATACAGGATCCTCAGAGAATGGAAAGGAGGGGCTCAGCACACATTAGGTCAGTGATATTAGTGGAAAGAATGAATGAGTATGTGATGCATGTACATTGTTCTATGATTATTACATTTCTTTTTTTCTTTCTTTTTTTTTTGAGTTGGAGTCTCACTCTGTCGCCCAGACTGGAGTGTAGTGGCTGCTCCCAGCCACCGCAGCC